CTCTCTCATGGCCTCAGGGCAGGTCTTTCTGTCCGTCCTGTGCAGTATTCTCTCTCTCTCTCTCTCTCTCTCTCTCTCAGGTTGTTGGCGCAGGGAGTTGATCCGAACAGTCGACACCGTTTGGGCTGGACGCCTCTCATGGTGGCCGCCATGAACAGACAGCACAAGTGAGTGTGTGCGTGTGAGTGTGTGTGGTGTGAGTGTGTGTGTTACCCAGAATGCTGTGGCAGAGCTTGTGTGTCAGAGACCCACAGAACCTTTAATTTAATTCAATTAAAGCTCACTTAACAAACACACACAGACGGAGTAGAGACAGAAGGAGAAAGACACACACACACACACACACACACACACACATAACACTTAAATCTGGACATGAAGGTACTAAAACGTCTTTGAGGCTCTGAAATGAAATGTGTCAGAATCAGCAGATGATTTCAGGTCAGCAGAATGTGGGTAATGTTCAATTAAATATTTGACAACACATTCATTGAATAACGATTGTTCAATTATTTAGAAAATTCTTCCAGCACATTATTGTAATAATGACTGTTCCATATGTAGAACATTATTGCAGCACATTATTTGAATAGTTATTATTCAATATTTCAAAAAAAACTGTTGAGGCACATCTGGATAATAACTGGTCAATATTTAGACAATTATTTTGTCACATTTTTTGAATTATAAATGTTCAAAATGTAGAAAATGATTGATTCTTCAGCAGGTTTGGGGTGATGTTCTCAGGGTCAGTATGTTTGTCTGTGAGATGTGAGTTTTAAGGAAAGCAGAGCATATGTGTGAGAGCAAGGAGTCGTGACCCTGAGCAAAGCACAAACTCAAACACATCCGTGTGTGCCGAGGCTGCACAAGAGCTCAACACTTTTCTTAATTTCAGTGTCTCCAGTCAGACGTTTATCATTACACAAGCTATTCTGTATAAACGCATTCATAAACTAAAATATTCCATTCAATTCATCAAACTAAAGCAAGACACTCCAGAATGTTGCACACACAATTAAATCAAACAACTCATTTTTAACTCATCTTCATACAGTTGAACAATCAAATTATTTGATTAACTATTGTTCAATATTTAGAAAATTGACACATTATTTAAATAATAATTATTTAATATTTAGAAAATTACTGCAGCATATTATTTGAATAATGATTATGTAAGATTATTCAAAATTGTTGCAGCACATTGTTTTCATGATGATTATTAAATATTTGAAAAATTAAGGCACGTTTTTTAATAACGATTGTTCAATATTTAGATTTTGTTTTTGACACATTGATTAAATAATGAACTTGTTTTACAATGCAGTTGAACAATAACAACTACAACTATTCTCTATAACCAAAATGGATATTAGAAATGTAAAATTCATCTTATTTGTATAAAAAAATATTAAAAGTTATGATATGATATATCAGGACAGAGTTATGTTTAAAAAGTCAATATTCATTTAAACAACAGACATTATTCCTCACAGATGTCAGACGCTCAAAACACGAGGAGATCACAGTGAGCATACGGACACACACCGGTGTTTACAAAACACACCTGACGGGAGACTTCCTTCCACTCGCTCTCTCACACACACACACACACACACACACAGACACACACTCACAGACACACACACAC